CTAATACTTTCCAATTACCATTATACAGCAAGTTATTCTTATAAAAGAATCATTAATTTATTAATTTTCCATAATATAAATGAGCTTTCTTTGGGCTAAGCCTCATTTGGCCAACTGGTTTATGACAATGAGCCAACCTTTTGGAAGTAGCCATCAATAACACGCGAAACCCCCGACCTCCCATCTCTCGTCTTTCGGGGCTAAGCTTCAAAGTCCTCAAGTGTGCAGAAAATATATAAGAAATAAGAGATACAAAAACAGTCTCTGGACTGTTCACAGTTAAATGACTATGCGACGGCCTCCCTGGGGCGGCTCTTTATTGACAAATCCCCATCGATCGATAAACATGCAAGACAAATAGACAAAAACTTCCGCACGGCTCTCGGGCTCGGGAGTGTAGCGACAAGCTTTAACCTTCCAAGGTTCGCTCCCATCTCGGATCTGGCATCTCGCATCGCGGATCTCGAATCGGCTGAATGATTGATTTTATGTATGTGCGCGCTTGGCATAAAGTCACTCAATAAAATTACAAAAAAATGCGTCGTCGCGCGGAGAACAAAGACCGCTGGCATCTGCCCAGCTGCCCGGGCAGCCCAGATTGATGGGCCCGTCTTACTGACCAACTGGCCAAGTGGCAGCATGGCCAAGTCGAAGATGGGACACTCTGCCGACCGATAAGGTCAATGGAGCGTCCCCGCACAGATTCCAGTTGCAGTTCCAGCCGGGCCCTTGGGGTTAGGGTATAATGATAAAATCACGCAGCAGCAGCAGCAGCAGCACAACGGAAGTATGTGCTCGTATCTATTTTTGTGACTCTGCCTGTCATCGCTCGGCTCGTTGTCGACAGCTGCCCGGAGCTGTTACAACAATGCGACTTCAATTAAAGCAGGCCGGGGTAACCTTGAACTCTCGTCTCGAGCGGTTTGCGCGCGTTCAATCAACGGCATCGGGCTGCTCATATCTCGGCCGTGGACCACGACATCCTTCTGGCCACAGCCACAGCCACGTTCACATGCAACGAAGCCGAGCCCCAAGAGAGGCCCGAACTGAAGCTGAAGCTGCAGCTGAAGCTGTCAATCTGCGTTCATTCCTCGCCTGCGACTTTGACTTCGCGGCGGCGGCAATCATCGAAAGATGCTGGCCTCTGACTTGGACCCTTCCCTCCGCTATCCCGCTTCCTATCCCGATCCCGGTCTCGAACTCAATCCATTCCCGATCGAGAGCCCTGCCCCTGGCCGCTTTTGGGGCCGGCTCATTCCTCGGCGTCAACGCCGTTAGCTGTCGTTTAGTTTATTGTTGCAAATTGCTCAGTGAATTATGTGCCGAACTGCTTACTGCCAACGACCACACACGCATGTGTTGTGTGTGTTTTGTGTTGCTCATTTGAAGGCTTGGCAGGAAATTTGATATAATGGATTTATTCGCTAAATCTTTCGATATTTTCTGCAATGTCAGTCTCCTGTTTTTTTCTTGGAGCACATAAATTTATGATTTATTATGATTTTGGTTCAAGTGCCTGGCTTTTTCATTGAGATATTTAAGTGGAAACGGAAATTGACATTGCTGTGGCATAAGGCAAATGATTTAAATACAAGTTTGGTTCTTAAGTCATTTGTTTTTCAAGCTGCTTTATTAAAACTTCTTTATTATTTAACTTTAAACATTATTTAGAGAATAAGAATCAATTTCTTTCGAAATAATTAAAAAGCAAGTTCGTTTCCTAAGTAATTTGTTTTCCTTTAGCAAATCGATAAATTATAATGTTATTACTAAGATAATATATTTCAGATAATGATTTCTATATTAATTAGAACCATGTGAACGATTTTCTTAGAACGAATGCCTTCTTTAAATGGAAATAATGATTAAGCGACTCTGAAGCTACTTTCCATAATCATCATTTTATTTTCTGCTCAATCAGACTGACTGCAAATAGTAAAGCCTTTCCTTAGGAGTGATCGAGAATAGATTCTATCTCGTCTCGACATCCCGTGATTTGCCTCTCCTTAAGCTGTCAACTACCCGGCCGGATCAAGTTCGTTGCCCAAGTCATTTGCTCTTCAATCGAAGAAAAAAGGGAAATACTTTTGATTTTGCTCTTGCCTCACACTGCCTTATGTAAATTTTTAGCTGCTGCCCACATGCAGCTCCAGTTTTTTCTTTCTTTGCCCTTAATCAAGCTGGAACCCTTGCTGTCGCTGTCTTTGGCTCACTTCACTCAGCCTCAGCCTGGGCCTGGAGTCGAAGAGTCAGCGAGACAACTACACAACCCACACACATGTTCGGGGATCGGATCGGATCGGATTGGATCGGATCGGATCGGGTTTGGTTTGGTTATGGAGTCTAGAGTATGGGCATGGGCCTGGGTACGATAATGGCAACGATTGCAGCTCTCGGTTGATGTTTGCTCCGTTTGCTTGTTAAGCTCTGTGCCAACTTTGATTTCGTTGTACTTTGTGTGTCTCCAGACATTTGTCTTTTGCTCTTAAGGTTCCTGCCTGCCTGCCTGCCGCTGTTGCTCTTTTCTTGGCTCGTTTTGTTTTTATTTTCGGTTTCCCTCAAGATATTTCCTTCGCTGTTACCCCTCAAATGCACTTTCAATTGCAGACAGTTTGACGTATATATGTGTAGACCAGGGCCAGAGCACTATATCTCTCATTTATCTATCTATATGCGAACCTACCTATATTTCGTCTGTCGCTGGCTTTCTTTCAAGCGAAGACCGAGTCGGAATTGGAAGTGGAATTGGAATTGGAACTGAAATCGGAATCTGAGGCCCAGTCTTGGCCCGAGCTGCCCACAGGCACTTTGGCTTGTGGGCCGTCGCTGCAGCTCCAGTGCCAGATTCGGTTGCAGCTCCAGCTTTGGCTTGGTTTCAGCTGCACCTCGGCTTTGGGTCTGTCTGCCTTGGCTTGAGCCTGTGCCTTTGCCTTTGGCTGTGCCTGCCTGCGTGGCTCACATACTGAGTCGGATTTGGAGTCGTCGTCAAGTAGCTGCCATGTAAAACGCTTCCTACTTGGGCCCAGGGGCGCATTGTTATAATTTGGTAAATTATTGCAAAGCTTATACCCTAGCCAAGACATGGTCAGGGATTTTGAAAAGAGGTTTGAATAGGGTTTAAATCCAAGTACAATTTAGGAAGAATATGAAAGAATTATAATAAGAAGTTTTATAAACAATCAACAACAAATTGTAAACATCATTTAAAATCTAAAAAACAGTTATGCATTTAAAATCTTTTTCCTACTTCTCCAATTACCCATATTTATACTAAAAGAAAAACTAAGGTAATTACCTATTACCCAATTGCTCAACACTTTTCACAGAGCATTTCTGCTTCGTTTTCCACTTGAATTACCCGGACTTTTCCTGTCCCATTTCCATTTGCTATGCTTTTTGTGCTGACTGTAATCATAAGTTTTTTGATGTATTTACTTTAATTAAATTACGTAAAGTGTTACATGGCTCAAGCACGCACATTTCGGAGCAGCCCTCCGGACTGGGTGCCCCTCTCTGCCGCGATCCCCGAATCCCCCACATACATATATCTTTCCACTTTGCCACACACATAAACAACTCAACTTTTGCTTTCATTAGAAAGCTGAAATGGTTTAAAGCCTTTTATGGCTCGTTATTGTCTAGAAAGAAAAACAAAAACTAATAATCATAATAAATAAAAATTCCGAAAATATTGTTTTATCTGTTTTTGTCAGGCAGTTCGTAAATTGCCAAAAATTGCACAGACAGATAGCTTTGTTTATTTAAAAAAATTTTTTTTTGTCGGCCTTTGTGGGCCGCGGCTTTGACTCGTTTCACTTGCTCTTCGTTTGGTTTGAGGCCGGGTCGTGACCGTTTCCACATCGACACCGACAATGACACTTAACACCGCCTAATGGGCAGATGTGAAATTTCAAATAATAAATTTTAAAGCTGTTGATGGCTTTATTTGCATCGTTTGAAATGATTAAAGCCGCAGCAGTGGCAAAAATTTAATCAAAAGACTTAAGCCACGAACTTGGGACGTTCTCACAACGAAAACGAAAGCCGGGAAGAGTGAGACAGCCAGAAGCCGATAAAGACAGACAGAGAGATAACTGGAGAGTTAGACGGACAGATCACCGCATGTGTGCTCTTTTTACACTTGGCTTACACGGCGTCGGGAAAATTAATATGCCAAACAATTACACGGCCTGGCAAAACAATTTTAAGCCCAGTTAATGCCGCACAGTGGTTGGGAATTACGCAAATTCAGCGCGAAAAATGTGCCACAATTGCCACAAAGAAATTAAAGCGCACAAATTTGCATACAAACAAATGAAGCGGAGCCAAATGAAAATTGCCATCCATACTAATTGGCAAAGAAATGCAAATGCAAAAGCAATGCGAAATGAAAATAATTGCAGGTGCAACGGTTTGGAACTAAGCTAAAAATACTGAGAGATCGAGGTGGTAATTATTTCATGAAATTGCATATGGTTAACTATAAAAATTACTCTCTAGTATATTTATTTTTAATTACTTGTAAAAATCGTTGAAGAGTTTTAAGGAATATTTAAAATTTAAACTCAATTTAATGTTGCTATATTATTTATTTGCACCACAACCTGTAATTTTTCTATTGTCATTTCGACCACTGTACCCTGGCTACCGTCTGGTGGAGCTGGAGCTAGAGCTAGAGCTGGAGCTGAAGCTTGAGCTGTTACCTTTGAAAGTTAAGACTTTTGCTTTTTCTTCTCCCCAACTTTGTGACTGCTTTTAGAAAGAGCGAACGTATGGATAAACAAAAGTTCAAGAGGTTGCCTGCACATGAGGCAAGAAAGAAAAGAAAGTTATTACAAAATTACCCGAGACAACTGACAGCTGACAAGGGCCGGTGGAGGGTAGGGGCAGGTAGAAATGGAATTGTTTCCATCTCCATGAGTTGGGTACAATTGCTCCCGGCAGAAATTGTGACAAATCGTAAAAATATTATAAGTAGAATGGGTCAGAGCGGGACTTACCACCTCCGTTGTTGGCACTGGAGCAGTGTTTGGAGCTGAGTCCTTGGCCCGTGTTCGAGGCCGAGTTGGGCAGCCCGCAGCCGCTCATCACGCCGTATTTGATGGGCTTGAAGTGGAAGAAAGACGGCGAGTAGCCGGATCCGGCGCGGCTCAGCGAGCTGAATTGCTCCTCGCGGTCCTCCACGTACAGGCCCTCCTTGCCCATGGCCGCCAGCTGCCTGCCCTTGGGCATGAACATCACCAGGAAGACGGTGGCCGAGGTGGCCACCAGTCCGAAGGCGATGCAGGCGTCCTTGTGCCGCTCGGCCACCGCCAGGCCGCACAGCATCCAGCCCAGCCAGATGGGAATGGCACCGCCGATGGCCAGGCCAATGTAGGTGGCCTCCCGGTAGTTGTCCCGTATGCCGCGCGACTTGATGGCCAGCACGGCGATGAAGACGATCAGGAAGACGATGTAGATCAGCGAGAAAAGCAGCTCCGAGAACTGGGTCTTGCACAGCGGGATCAGCACTGTGCTGACCGCCGCTATCCGGGTGTATATCTCCGGAGTGCCGTCCAGCGTTGTGTAGGATGTGGGGTAGAACAATGCCGAGTAATTTGTCTGCGAGGCCACCGTGGTACTGAGAAATCCGCTGCCCATTACGGGCACACTGGTGGTGTACACCTCAGGCGGTTGGGTTAGCAGCCACTGGCCACCGATGGCCACCTGGATGAGCAGGGCGAAGAGCAGAAGAAGTCCTTGGTACGGAGCCGGCAGGTAGACTCCCCCGTTCAGGCTGATCAGGAAGACGCACTTGACCAGGAGAGCGGCGAAGACCAGGGCGTAGGCCACACCCACGCCAAAGCGAATCGCTCCACAGCTGAGCAGTGTAGGCTGGGCCGTGATGATAGCTCCCAGACTGGCGCAGGCAAAGAGTCCCAGAAGCAGCATCTGGCCAAGGAAGAGGTGTCGTCGCGACGGCGAGGTGCGCCAGGCCTTGAAGAGGACGAAGATCTCGAAGGCGCCCATCATCAGCATCGTGAGGGTGGCCAGGACGAGCACGGGCACCACCCACGGCTCCTTGCGCAGCCCGGCGAAGGGCAGATGCGTGGACACTACGCTGGGCGGTGTGCTATTGAAGGTGCCGCTGCTGCTGCCCCCCGGAGGTAGTCTGCCTGAGGAGCTGGTCCCAGCTGATCTCGCCCTGGCCCCCAGACTTCGTGTAGGCGTGGCCGGTGTGGTGGAGCTGCTGCTGCTGGTGGGTCTGCTGGAGGAGAGCGTGGGCACCACAAAGAATTCCGTGGACATTTCCAGCCGGGCAGCACTCGACACATTGCCGCCCGGGAAGTTGAGATCCAATTGTTTGGCTGAACGCTGTGATGGAGGAGTTGCAGGAGTTGTACTCGTGGTTGTGGTACTCGTACTGGTAGTGGTACTGGTACTAGTGGTGGTGGTGGTGCTGCTGGCATTCCTGCTGCTCGGCTTGAGCACCTGGTAGGCGTTGCGCTCGGACTCCTGGTTTGTCACCAGGCGCACTCGCCGCCAAATGTTGTTCCCATTTACGCTGAGGCTGCGCGACGCCGGCGTGGTGGCGATCAGCTGCAGGATCAGCAGCAGGATCACCAGCAGGTGGCGTCTTCCAGCCATTGGTTGGAGTGCACCCTTAATCCTTCGCGACCCTTAACCCTTAACCCTTAACGCACTCAGATGCGGCGCATCTCTCACAAATCGCACGCGCACAAAATCAACAAACCCGCGACGCGATCGATTCTTCGGTTCTTCTGCGGCGAAGCTCCTTTCTTCGCTTCTCGATTCTTGACTCTGGATTCTCGTCTCTCGGTTCTCAGTTATCCGCTTGCCTCCACTCGATTCTCGCGCTGAGACGTCCGCTCACTCCGATCGACCAACTGCGACTGGCCGGCGAGCTCTGCAAGTCGCACTTTGGTGCCGCTTTGTCGTTTGAGACAAGTTTGAAGGCGCACGGTGGAACCTCTTGAGTGTCTTCAAAGTGAAATAAATACCTTGTGAACCAAGTAGTAAAATCTATTAATTTAAATGGCATATGATGGATAATTGTTCAAAATATATTCAAAAATATATAAGTTAAGGTGCTACGCTTCTTGGTTGATTTCTTATTGCTCTGTTTTTTTGATAACGAAAAATAGGTCAACTTTGAAAGCGTATTTCTCATTAACAAAATATCTGATTTTATTCCACTTTTGGGCTTGTAATCTTTGAACAATTTCTTGTAAAAGATGTGTGTTTTTAAAATAAAGTAAGTTTATATAAATGTTTTGATGCTTGCAACACAATTTGTTCTTAAATCTCCATGGTGCGGCAACTAAGTCGAGCTAACATCACACTTGTTGGAGTTCGAAGTGCGTTTGCTAACTTGGCTTAAAAAGCAGAGCATTTGGTAATTCTAATAACGGTAAAGTGAGCTCTATTTAAAGATTTATTTGTTGGGAAATTTAAATAAATAAAATGAGAATAAAGGGGTTTAAACCAGTTACATTTGGGAATACATAGATATAATGGTAATTAAATATTTTAGTGAACTTAATAATTATAAGAAATAATTAGACTTATGTAAAATTAAATAAATAATACTACTTAAATTTGTTTAAAATCTCATACAATTTATTTCTTAATTATGTTATGTTAATACTATACATTTTTCTCTTAATTTTCTTATTCATTATATAAATAAATATAAAAAAATTGGTTTAAAAAAATTGATTAATCTGTCAAACAAAACCATGGATTTTTCTTATTTCAAAAATATTATAAATATTGAAAATGTATGCTTTTAGAATATTTTGTTTCCAATTTTCGCATCTGCAACTAGCTTCAGCTTCCTTACAGCTTCCTTACCCACATGCACTCCACATCCGCTACATGGAGAACACTTTCATTCCTTCTGCAGACTCGTATGTGGGGATGGGGATAGCGATACCGATATCGCTTTAAGGCCGAGGTGGCTTGGCCCCTCAGGAAAGTGCTGCGAGCCATTAGCCAAGCGCTTTTGCGGTCGCTTTCAGAGCCACTCTCTTCGCAAACGGCGCAACAAAAGGCGAAAATAGCTAACTCTGCGCACAAAAGGCGATTGTAAATCAAAAGAGCGCTAATGATATATCGATATACCGAGTGTTGAGGTGGGAAAGGCAATATGTTAGCAGCGGCAATAGGAACTCTGCAGCGCTCTGATTCCTTAAGTATTATTGTGTTATTGTCTGCTGGGGGCGCGCTTTCGGCGAAAACCACAGTTAGAAATGAGCCCAGTTTAGATCGCCGAATGAGTGGGCAAAAAGGCTTAACAAACGGCTTGCATAATAAAGTTCTTATTGTACGATGTTTGTTTGAAAGTCACACATAATCTGTAGAGATTATGGAAAGGAAAACTAAAGATAACAGTCTGGCAAGAGATTTAGACTTAATATGGTATTTACAATAATCTTAATTAATTAATGCAATGTAATACTTGAAAGGGTATTAACCAAAGAATTATTTGTATAATCGTATAATAATATTGAGTACCGATTTCATTATTTATAAATGTTAGCTCCTTTAGTAAGTACCTAAGATAATTTGGTTAATTCAATTCAACTTTAGGATCCCGAAATTTGCAATTGGATAAAGGTAATCAATATGAATTCATTACAATTCGGCTTTTCATAGATAGTTTTGAAATACACATTTAAAAGTATTTAAAATATAAAAAATTTGTGAATTTTTTAAAACAAACTTCTGATTCAAATTACAATACCCTGCAAGGGTATACAAATATTCCTCAAGTATTCCCCCATATCAATTTTAAGCGGTACTCCGTGGGTTGTATTGGTCACTCAGATCCGTATTTGGCGCGACTCACAATGCGCAGCCATTAGCCGCTACAAATGTTATGTAGATCGTGTCGAATGTAGCCCCTTCCCTGCGGTGAGACAGACTCCACCCCTCCGGTGAGAGCCCTCCCCCGATCGGGTTAATTCCCCACCCGCCCCCGAGTTACGGTATCGTTAGTGGCGATCTGAGAGTCCGGTCAGCAGTCAACAGAACAGTCAGAAGGCCAGTAGTGCACACTAAAAAAATATATAAAATAGAGAAAGAGTCTCACAGATATTATCTTGTTAAAATCAGATTTCAGATATATTTAATTCTATTTGAATTTGTCACTTTAAGAAATCAAACTAAGGACAACAATATGAATATTATTTGATCATTGTTTAAACAGATATTTTAATTCATTTCAATATCCATAATATCGATTGTATATTGTGATGAAATATAAACCAATTGACCCTCCTTCCATGCCAATATTTGTTTTCTGTGTGTCCATCCGCGTTCTGTATTGACATGGAGGCGGGTAAATAACCTCTCGGCTTGCCCCGAAAAACCCAAAACAAACAAAAAAAGAACCGAGTCGCAGAAACACTTGGTACAAATGAGCGCGTAGTCAAATCTGCGATCCGCGAATTGCCATAACCGAGCATAACTCAGACTCCGGCTTCTGCTTTTGCCGGTGATCATGATCTCGGACGATACGTGCTCTCGTGTACCTGTTTTGTTTATACCCTTGTACCTGTTGGCATTGTAGATTTAATCTTAATACGAATCGGGCAGGGATGATGGTGGTGGCGATGATGACGCCGCGTAATTTATGAACTTTTCAATTAGAACTTGTCTCCGGAAAATTAAATTCTCCTCGCGTTGTGCCTAATCCTTGTTTAAGCTAAGCCAACGATTATTTGCTATGCTGTCGCTGTCTCGACTGCCCATTATCTTTCTAATTAAAGCTGTCACTTGGCCGTTGTTGGAAGGAACATGGGCCCCGGGATCTGCCCGGTAACAGTGCTTTATGTAATCCTGCGGTCTTAGAGTGATCTTAGCTAATTAAATGGCATTCTAATATTACGTTTCGCCTTTCTCCTGGCAAGCCGGATCGGGTTTCACGACATACCCGAGACACATTGCGTTAATAACCCCTGACTGGGCACAAGATCAAGGCAGCCCTCTGGCTCGTGCGCAGGCCAAAAGTCAATTGGCCAACACCAAAGGCAAAAAAGTTGGTAGTATGGCCGGTTTTGGGTATGCTGAAGTTGGGGAATATCAGAATTTATGCAGAAGTTGCAAACGGTATTTATTTCCATAATATTAAAACTCCAAATATATTTATTATTAAAAATAAAAGATTTAACACAATTTTTTGCCTGCAATCAGCCCAATTTAATTACGTTAATTAGCTTGTGGAATCATCTACTTATTTTACATAAATTTTCTCTTTGAATGCTTTGGTTGACCAACGTTTTCTCTTGGCTGTAGCGCTCTCATTACTCGGCCTGTGTATCAACTTTCTTTATGGTTAAAAATTATTCAAATTTGGCTGCCTGCCGTTTCGATGGGCCTAGAATATTTTCACGATTTCGCAAGGAGAAAGAGCCGAACTGGCTCTGACCCCATCGCCCGGATGGGCTAATATTACTTTGGCTTGGCGCCAAGGCTCCGAATCCTCCTCGGCGAAGTTGATTGATTCCGGGCGATTTGAATGTCTGAGCCGGGACCGGGACCAGGGACCCCAGACCGGGAACGGGAACCGCGAACCTGGACCCGGATTAGAGCCGATAGATGTGCCGCCCATGGACCTGGCACCAGGGAGCAGGGAAATGTGTCAGAGACTGCAACGCGGAGCTGGACCGTTGCCCGGGGCTCTTCATGAACTTAATTTATTTGCAACAAGACGCGCCGGCGCCGTCTGGGTCAAGTGTCAGCCGTTGGAGCTTTGGACTGCGAATGTTTCCGATCATCACTCCTTGATCGGGCCATTTATTTTCGGGCATTTCAATCGGCGTATATTTTCGGGGATGCATTTTCCAATTTATAATCGAAACCAGTTGGTCAAGTGCGTTGAACTCTTTGCGGATACCGAATATCCCCAGAGACAAAAGCCTCGTGGCGATCTTATTTATTTATCAATATGTAGTGCGGTGCCGGTTCCTCTTCCCTGCCCGAGTTCATTGTCGTCCCCAAAAGAGCGAATTCTGATTTATAAGCGGGCCCAGTCCAAGGGACTGGAATCTGGCCCATACTCCGCCTCCGGTCCCTGCGTCCCTTCGCGACGGGGCTGCGCTTTAATCACGTGCGTGCAATGCGCACATGATGATGCGCCCCAATCCGAATCCCCCATGCATGCTCCGCGGGCACCTTGTCCCCATCCTCGCCCTGCCCCGATCCCAATAGTGATCCCGATCCCGATCCCGACCCCTCCGATGCTCTTGACGACGCTGGGATGCCGCTCCGGCCTCGGCTGTTTCTGTTTCTGGTGTTGCAAACGCTGCCAGGCCAAACACCCGGCGAACATTGCTTAACAGCAATCTCCGGTCTTGCGATTCACAGTGGTGGCCATATAACTAGGTGGTAGGACTACTATTAATTGTACCTTACGTAGAACTATTAAAATAAAGATACATTTAATTTGGTTTCAAAGATCATCTACTAGCCAAGGACATGTATCATGGTGTAGCGGTTAAGCCATATCCTTTTTGCTTATTAACTATAAGATATCAGAAAAACTTATTTACATATTTTCTTAATATATTATGTAACTAATCCTAACCTTAATGAGGAATTACTAAAATTTCAGCAATTAAAATGTTATTATTTTTGTAATTCCCAATTTATTTATTATGTTATCTCATGACATAAGCTCGTGTCCTTCACTGTACTTTCCTCTATATGTTTTAGTCCATTATGCAGAATGCATATAAATGTAAGTGCAAGTATCAGAGTTAGTATAAGTGAGTTGCTGTTGTTGCTGCCGTGTTGTGTTGCGTTGTTTTGTTGTGCTGTGTGTGGTGTGGTGTTGTGTGTGAGCGCGCATGCGTGAAGCGTCCGTTTTAATCGT